CAGGCAGCACCAAGAAGCATCTCAATATTCCTTCTGCTTTTGGCTTAAGGAGGATTTATTGTAAGCAAAATGGCGGTACTAGCCAGATTACTCAATCTCAAAGACAAGTGTTAGAACCTCCTATGTCAAATGTTCTAACTTTCAAAGTCAAATGTTATGATCTCAACCAATCTGGCAAACAGATTACCCACTAACAGATTACCAAATGGAGACATATGCCTCAAATTACAAAAACATTTTATGTGCTTCCATGCAAAAAGGAGATAACTCCATTCACCTCTGGAAAAATATATGTTGCAGACTTTCCCTTGCAAGGTCAGCATTAAACTTGATGAACATCTTCACTCAACAAATACTGTCACAGAGTGAGTGAGTTGTCACATGTCACAAGCAGCCTTGACCTCCATTGAGTGTCGATTCATGAATCAATTGGCAATGCTGCGTCTGATAAAGCTACATCGATATAAAGCATGATATCGCATTTACTTCAAGTAATCTCAAAAACACTTGCAAATCACAAGGTGTTTGCTTTACTCGCCTCATCACATAATATACAGATAGTGTTTCTCGGCAAAAGAGTTTACCCAAGCTGTGACTCTGGCCATGAAAATATCATTGCTGGGGCAGGTTCTGTGTCCTGAGTGAATGGAATTTGAAGCTTTTTAGTTATTTCACATTGAAACTAAAACTAAGTTATTCCCTGATGTAACAGGGTATTTCTATATTACCCAGTCTTTTTCTGAGGAAATGGTTAAAGGATACGCTTCCTGAACTCAACGGGAGACATGAGCTCTGTTACCATGGTTACTCTACAGCAGGAACAACATCAAATCTGACTGTCTTGACTACATGAACAATGGATGACATCACACAGCTGTGGGTTCTTCCCGAACAATTGAAACAATGGAACAATATTGTCAAAACACTCAGTGAGAACTACTGAAAATAATGTCACCTATATCCTTGCCCTTCTGGGCGATATAAAGGAGGTTATTGCCATATTATACCATATCTGTGCAACAATACAAGACTGTAACGAAACATCACCATAGCAACCATCATACACAGATTGAGGTCTCGGAAATAATTACATGTCACAAATGAATATCATAGGACTCCAGGTCTGTCAGACTGTCATCAAACGGTATAGTACCAGACGAATTGGTCTGGTGTCTCCGGGTAGTGTTGTAATGTGCTGAGCTGACCCTGTGTGGACTGCACGGTTACAGCTCTGTAATAGGCTGCATATTGCACTTACAGAGTAACCTGTCAAGTGATATACAATACATTAGTACCAGTGTATGCTAACATAGATGCTTGCTAACATACAATCTCATAGCAACATACGAACACTTGTTACATGGCTCTACACAAAACGCAGATGACAGGGCGAAACATCCTCACAAACACGTCATCACATCTAAAACTCTCTCTCTCTCACTCACTCACTCTTTAACACACACTATGTGCACAATCAAACAACACTATTCCTGCACATTTCACAAGTTTTCAAGACCCACAGTAACTGTCCAACAAAACTGAGAAGTGAGACATTTTGTGTACATTAAATCAAGTCAATATTCCAGAATGATGCTGGATCGACGTGTTACACCAATTATTGACTACAAACACCATTTACATGGGTATATAGATAAATATAATTATACATAATGTTTATAATCAACGGGATGCTTCGAGGCTATTGTATTTCAATCTAGGGTATCCAATCACTAAATTTAACAACAGTGTTACGACATGGCCCCCTCGACGTACATGCTTACACCGGATTTTCCTTTCAAACATTTCAAAGGTCTTTTGGACCACGTTATGTTTACAAAGTCCCTGTGCACTAAAGATACAGCCGCTCGTCTTCATAAAATATTATCTGCGTCTTCATGACTTGAAACCAGATTCATCAAGATGAAGTTTGATCAACATTATTTTCTGCTCGGATATCCAATTCAAAGTAACACTTCTTCCTTCCATTGTCTCAAGTGAGATGATTAATCAAATATGAAACACAAACAAATGTAAGTGGTGCTTTCTTTCTCTCAATCATTGTATTGATTTCAATTCAGTTATGATAAATTCTCTGAACCCTAGCTTTGTGCCATCATCAGCTCAATCACTCATGGAATTGAAATCAATAACCAATCCAAATGACGTTAACAGATTTCAGCACTGTGAGGGCGAATGCTTGTCATATTTAATTAAACCTGACCTTTACCAAATAACTTTCACTGAAACAGATGCTTCTTAGGTGTGAAGCCTTGGGAAGAGAAGTCCCTCTGCGCAACAGGTGTTCCCAGTTGCTTTTTAGACGAAATGGCGAGGTCAGACGAGGGCATGTAATTTTGTTCGTTTCAAAACAGTGCAGTCTAACCAGAAAGATAAACATAATTGACGTCAGCTGAGCTAGATTCAAAGCAACATAAGAGATTTGAATGGGTCAGGAAATGTATTATAACTGAATACACACATAACTGAGTGGAAATTAAAGGATGGTGCTGTATGTCATATTCCAGCTTGGGTTTCCAAAGCTGGTTTAGCAACAAAAAACCAAATCCTGCACAGTTAGTTTACACCGACTTATCTGTCACCATGAGATGAGATCATTTAGACACATCAACTAACCCAATGCTAGAATTCAGCAGGATAAGGATCCGACCATTTGATATTCTGGGATCGTTTTGAACCAAATTTTTTTTCAGAAAATTATGTTGGCTTATGTTTTGTGAAAAATGTCACCTGCATATGACATATGTCCTGAATGTATATGCTGTGAAACAATATAATTGTTTTCATTCAGGAAACAAAAAAATTGCCAAAAATAAGCACTGTGTTTCCTACAAACATTGCAGGCAGTGTTCAGAATATTGAATGGTTGGTCCCAGACTTGTAACATGATTCATGATATACTGATTCCCTCAGCCGTTTATTGCTATACTTTATTTATGAACACTCTAACCTATCTCCTACTCAAGCGAAAGATCACAATACATGATACATCATACAACAACGTGTTTGGTAACAACAACAAAAATATCAAATTCTCACTAAGAAAACAAGCCCAAAGAACCTTTGTCACAATTTCCCAATGTAACTATTGGGTGGGTGTATGTCTCATTTTTTCACATCAATATTTCCAGACCCATGTCATTTCCAGTGTATCTGAAACCCTCTATAAATCTGAGAAATGATCATGAACCTTAAATCAGGTCAATGGACTGTATCTGGTTGTCCTACTGAAAACGGCATGCAGATCAAACTAGCATGACCAGCAACCATACATACATGTAAGCAGTGTAGGAAAGATAGCCCGTCCCAATGTCCGAGATGGGTGAATTTTGCGGAGGACGGGTTAAAAAAATATCTAGTCCATCCTCATGTCGGGTCAATTTTAGCAAACCAATGACATATATATAATGATTATAACCTTTTTGAATATTTACTGCCGAAGGTGTTTTATTTATATTTGGAGGACAGGCTAGATTTTGGCAGGACTGGTAAAAAATTTGACCTGCCAGTCCTGTGGACAGGCTAGATTTTCTACATCTATTCCTACACTGATGTAAGTCTCAAACAATTCAATTTTGGACATCAGAAAAGGAGATAATTCAGTATTGCATAAAGGGAAATAATTCTTGAAATCAAAAAGGGGGATAACTCAGGATTTCAAAAATAATTCAAGCCATTGAAGGTACATTCAGGACCTGATAAAGGGAGATAACTCTCCATAAGGGAGATAATTCTGAACATCAGTAAGATAGATAAATATGAACAGAAGGTTCAGGAGCCTATATTTCGTTATTTTTACCTGGTATTCTTGAAATGAACGACTTAAAATTCTTTTTCTTCTGATGTGGATATATCACACTATAATACAATTTTCAAATTCTTCAATTTCAAAACAGACATAATCTAATGTATTCCTCAAAACAACCCTTGTCAACGTTTGCCTAGAACCATATCATGGCATGATATCAAGTATACGATGCATATAACATGGCAATGACAGTGGTATTACAATGAGCATGGTCAGCATGCATTGTAACAGGTATATTGTAATAACTGAGGCACCCAACATGGTCTAGGGTCTAGGAATGGCTATCCCTGAAAATGTTCTCGCAAAATACATCATGAGGCAAAGCATGGCATTATAACAAAGTCTGACTGGACATACAAGTTTGTGTGTCTCCACCGACGCACGGTTTACTGGACTGCTAAATGTGTGTAGTGCAGTCAGTGATAACGCCACATTTGCAGTCAAATCACAGCTGACAGCTGCTAGGAGTTTATAGGCCATTACAGCTATATGATCAGGCACAGAGCAGTGTGTAAAGGTGTCAAGTAATACCTTGGTTCAATTGTACATTCCGAGACACAGTAATAGATTCCGTGACACCTTCTGTGACACAACAGGGAAGTCACCAATAAAACATGGTACACACTGCACTGTCCACAACTGGTAACGCAAATACTAGAATGAAAGAGTGAGTGACTGAGTTTGGTTTTACGCCACTTTTAGCAGCATAACATCAATATCAGGGTGGGGGACACCAGAAATAAATCACACATTGTACCCATGTGAGGAATTGAACCTGGGTCTTCGGCAAACACTTTAACCACTAGGCTGCCCCACCGTCCCGTACTAGAATGAGGTTTCAGAGGATGACAGAGGATGTCAAACATACCACAGTACTCAGTACAAACACTCTTTTCCTTGACCAGAAATCTGCAGTAAGAAATACTTCAGTTATCCACTTCATGAAGTAGAAGTCAACAATAGTTACCCCATGATTGAAATCGGAATTCCTCATTGATATAAATGAGAACTGAGTTTCAAATGACGGTGATTAGAACTGTCTTCCTTATGCAAGTACTCACTACACCTTTACTCACCAACTTTGTGATGTCCAAAATTGACTGGTACATGGTAAATAACTAAACCCCCAACTTAAAATTCTGACACAAAACATTAATGTATGCAACCATGTCAATGCTGATCAACAAAAGACATTTTATTTTGTCATGTCCAAAATTGACCATTCAAATAATATGTAACTAAAGCCTGAATTAAAAATTTGGATGTTAAAACTGTAAGTGTGTAACCATATGTCAGTGCTGAAAAACATATACTACTCAACAAATGTTAAGAAACACAGTTACTGTTTCACTTTTGAGTAGTATATATACATGATAAACGTCTTTAGTTAAACCAAAATTAGTGACTATGTCCAGAACCAACTGTATACGACTAAAGCCTCAACTTAAAATTTGGAAAATATGCACAAAAGTTGGTATCTAAGTGGAACATGTCTGAAAATGGCTGATCATGCAACACTTATGGAATGTGATTCAACCATGACGGCTGTCTGATGTTCAACACATCGACGACACATTGGAAGGGGAGGGACACCTCTCCTCCTAGGCAGCTGAAATAAGGCAACACGCTTTCATCCCCAGGATGAAGTATTATGACATAGTTCATTATGAACACATAGCACATGTTCCTGACCAGGAAGTATTTGTACAGATCACAGACGTCGACAGAACGTCAATGAGGGGATGGCATGAAACAGGACGTTATAAGGCTAGGACGAGTCTTCATTACCATACTCGTCCTGTATGTCTTTCAAGAACCGAATCAGATTCTTCAGGCCAAACAAATAACCCGAATCGGGGCCTTTGTGCACCACTTCGTCATCCCAGAATCCTTTGCGAGTTGCGTGTGCAAAATCAATCATTTTGATTTCAATGACTGGATGGCTGCTTTCCTGCCAGGTTGGGGAATCACCGTTGGCATTCTCCTCGGAGGAATCCTGTGATATTGTCTCCTCGTCCTCCTCTCCTCCATACATGATGAGGAGAGAGCTGGAGTAGAACCGGAATGTCTGCTGTTTCAGCAGCTGCGAGTACAGTTTTTCTAGCCGCTGGACGATGGGCTCGATGACACAGGTTCGCAATGTGTGTCCATTATGAAGGAACTGATATAATGTGTCCTTGAAGGTGTCATCCATCAGTGTGCGACCGAAGAACTTGTCCCGGGTAACATAGATGCCTGTCGTCTGCTGGTACACCTGCAGATACAAGGTTAATGGACTAAACACAGCGTTTCCAGGGAGTTTTACATCATGGTGATCAAGAGTTAGCGAGTTAGTGAGTTTAGTTTTACGCAGCACTCAGCTATATGGCGGTGGCCTGGACCAGACAATCCAGTGATCAACGGCATGAGCATCTATCTACACAATTAGGTAGGGACCAAGAAACTACCACCCGTTACTAAACAGGAACTAAATGAATTGAATCTGGGGCTTTGGTAACAAGGTTTTAATCACTAGGTAACCAATATCTTATCAGACATTCTAAAAAATAGACTTGGGTTTACAGCCCCTTTGAGTGAGTGAGTAAGAATGGTTTTATGCCATTTTTAACAATATTCCAGCAATATCACAGTGGGGATTCCTTAAATGGGCTTCACACATTCACACATTGCATTAACATTGGGAATAAGCAAATGCTTTAACCACAAGGCTAACGCACACCCCAATCCCTCCCTTAACAGTATTCCAGTTATGTAAGGTGTCACCTAGATACGGGGGAAAGCCTGAAGTGATGCAGGTTTCAGATGTTCCCCACTTTGGTGAAACATAATTGAATCTGTCGGGGATCAAACCGATGATCATGGGTTTTGTCATGCCCAAGGGACATAACTCTGCACAGTGAATTGCAGCACCTAAGGCAACTGGGCCACCGAACAAAGCATGATGACAGTAAACTAAAAACAACAATTATTGATAGGATACTAAAATTTGAAACGTACAAAAGGTTGCATTTTTAATTAGCCCAGAAGGGACCATTCATAAGTAATGGCTGTGTGTGTGTGTGTGTGTGTGTGTGTGTGTGTGTGTGTGTGTGTGTGTGTGTGTGTGTGTGTGTGTGTGTGTGTGTGTGTGTGTGTGTGTGTGTGTGTGTGTGCGTGCATGTGTGTGAAAGAGGAAAGAGGAGGAGGAGAGAGAGAGAGAGGGAATTATGATGATTTTGTACATGTCATGCAAGGGGGTGTAACCTTACTTTGTACATAAATTTAAGGGCGGTTCATTCACATTGTACATGCTTCTCAAAAAAAATCATTATCACCCCCCTAACCATAAATTTTGAACGGTCCCTAAAGCTAAAATTCCTATACTAGCTTCAATGCAACACTGGCTATACTATGCTACAGCACAAGGGTACAAGAGTTATTTCCCCTGACCTGCATTCCACACATTCGTAGTCCAAGTGACACGGATGTGGTTGCTGCACATTTCTTGACCTGAGTTTCCCTCTTTTCTGCCGTGGCATCGTCCCCATGCTGTCGAGGACCCATCTTCAGATCCAAGATACAAGGGTGCTTGAAATGTGCTGCTACATTTTCCAAGAGGATAAATTCTTACAAAGTTAAGAAAAATTATCTTTGAAAATTTGAAGAAAAAACAAACACTTTGAAAATTATGACCTGTTTGATAGCTAATCGTATAAATGGTCTGAAATAATAGTTTGCTTGTAATTCAGAATAAGATGCAATATGTTCAGATCAAATAAATGATGAAGAGAAAGTTTAATCACAGTTGTTAACCTTGATCGGGTATACCCCTGTACGCCAGTTACCAGGATCAGGAGACGCCATCAACAAACAAGGTATGATGACTTGCTGTCGATATACTATCCACCTCAGTGTCTGAAATAACTGCCTGTCTACTAGTCTGGTGCTTGAAGAAGTTTCCATGACGTAAATATTCCAAAATGTTCCTAGCTCAACTAGCTACTGAGATATTCACTGTCACACCTCTTCGTTGATGAAATATATGGAAATAACTGTCTGTTTCTGTAGATTAATACATTCATGGCTAATCAAAAATTAAATGATTATCAATAATGAATCACGACTGCGAGATCCGAGTTTCCCCAACAGATATATAGAACTTGTAATTACTCTGTTCATAATGGTTCATGTTTTTGCCTCAGTATCAATACTGCCATGAAGGATACTGGACTGGTCCGGGCCATGTCGGTCCTGCCTCATACGAGCCACCTGCTCCTTGTGGCACTTCAGGCTCCAGGGATTCAGAGATGCTTTATTGTTGCGGGCCTTGCTGCCACTGCCGACGTCAGGTGTGACATAGGTCTTGTCCGTCTTGGTGCTCACTTCTATACTCCCACTTCGCAGCAGTTTCATACTACTCCTGCAACAGTTGATCAACACATGATCATTACATGGGACAGAGCTGAGAAATGTCTAAACAGTTGGGCTTGACACTGTTGAACAGTAATCCAGTGCTATAATGTATGTGGGAGGAAAAAGGAGATGCAGGTCTTAAAAGCTTATTTTTTAGGTCAAACCCCAGAATCAAACTTCTATCAGATACTGGCAAGGGACACAACTCTGCACAACTGAAGCACTTTCAACACCTAATGCCCTGACAAGAAAATTGACTCTTCCTCACCCAGACTAAAACTCTGGTTGGGTTTTCACTTACTCAACCTCTGATAAAGTTAGAGAACTCTTCGGATGCAATATTACCATAAAAATATTACTAAATCCAAATAGAAGATTCATGTAAATTAACTAGTCAAGTTTGTTACGAAATAATTCGGGTAATCCAATTAAAATACTAAATGGTTGTGGCCAGTAAAGTAAACGTTCATGGACCACACAAACCAGGCATATTGTGAGTCGCGATCCCCACCATCAGGCTAGATGACAAGCCAGGTCACAGGTCTGCCATCCAATACACATTCAGCTGTGAGTGTGACCAACCAATCCTTAGTCACCTATAACAAGCAGCGGGTACAAAGAAAGTGCCCCACATGTAACAGGGCGATGTTCTGTTTATTTCTTAAACCCTTGGCAATATTCCAGCAATATAGAGCCGACTGTAAATTATCAAGCCTGGGCCAGACAAACCAGTGATTGATACTAAGCAACAATTCACGTTGTTGGGGTGCGCTGACAAGCAGGGCACAAGGTCTGAAAAGCCAAATCCTGTGAGTTTTCTTCTTACGACCAGCATGGTTTGGAGGGAACAATTTCAAACACAGAATCCCTGCTGGGGAAATGTTGATGTTGAGATCAGCGATCAGAGGCAAAACGTGATAACAAGTCGAGATTCTCCTCACAAACATGAGCATGTGATCACACACCATGACTGTCATTACTCCTTTAACAATGACATGATTAGATGATAGTCATCACGCTATGAAACAGACTCCAGAGTCATACAAGAGACACTTCAGCAGACCTTAGTTTCAGACACTGTTGAATGAAAAAGAAACCTCAGTGTTACATATATAGTAGAATGGTATCTCAGTGGGCTAGCACTATAAAACCAGCTTCAGTCTGGGCTAGTACAAGCAGCCGCACATACACATACACACGCATGCCCGTCGTCATATGATCGAAATATTCTCAAGCACGACGTTAAACCAAATTTCACCTCACCTCACCTCACATATATAGTATCTTAGCATGGACGTTTTCTTTTTCTCATTTGGTTCTACAATTTGTGGGGCCATCAGTGGCCCTGTTGTCTAAATTGCCACTGGTCAATGTGCAGTGCATTGTGAGTTTGAATCTAGTTGACCCAATTCTGTTCCTAGGTTTGTCAGCACCATAGTAGTCTGTCTCCCAGTCCCTGAACCACATTATTTTCCCTACAGCCTAGCCCTCCCCACAATGTAGTCTTTCTCACAGTCCCTGAACCACATTATTTTCCCTCCAGCCCAGCCATCCATGCAGTGTAGTCTGTCTCACAGTCCCTGAACCACATTATTTTCCCTCCAGCCTAGCCCTCCCTGCAATGTAGTCTGTCTCACAGTCCCTGAACCATATTATTTTCCCTCCAGCCTTGCCCTACCTGCAATGTAGTCTGTCTCCCAGTCCCTGAACCATATTATTTTCCCTCCAGCCTAGCCCTCCCTGCAATGTAGTCTGTCTCCCAGTCCCTGAACCATATTATTTTCCCTCCAGCCTTGCCCTACCTGCAATGTAGTCTGTCTCCCAGTCCCTGAACCATATTATTTTCCCTCCAGCCTAGCCCTCCCTGCAATGTAGTCTGTCTCCCAGTCCCTGAACCATATTATTTTCCCTCCAGCCTAGCCCTCCCTGCAATGTAGTCTGTCTCACAGTCCCTGAACCATATTATTTTCCCTCCAGCCTTGCCCTACCTGCAATGTAGTCTGTCTCACAGTCCCTGAACCATATTATTTTCCCTCCAGCCTAGCCCTCCCTGCAATGTAGTCTGTCTCCCAGTCCCTGAACCATATTATTTTCCCTCCAGCCTTGCCCTACCTGCAATGTAGTCTGTCTAAAATCCCTGAACCATATTATTTTCCCTCCAGCCTAGCCCTCCCTGCAATGTAGTCTGTCTCACAGTCCCTGAACCATATTATTTTCCCTACAGCCTTGCCCTACCTGCAATGTAGTCTGTCTCCCAGTCCCTGAACCATATTATTTTCCCTCCAGCCTTGCCCTACCTGCAATGTAGTCTGTCTCACAGTCCCTGAACCATATTATTTTCCCTCCAGCCTAGCCCTCCCTGCAATGTAGTCTGTCTCCCAGTCCCTGAACCATATTATTTTCCCTCCAGCCTAGCCCTCCCTGCAATGTAGTCTGTCTCACAGTCCCTGAACCATATTATTTTCCCTCCAGCCTACCCATCCCTGCAATGCTAAAGTTCTAAATGAAGCAAGTCCAGATTTCCCCAGGTTCAGGAATCTCTGGTCTCCCTGGGGCTCCTTTTCAATAAATGGATTTATTTGTTACAATCAAAACTATATATTCAGAGATTAAGCATTAGTCTAGCACCATAGCTGTGTTCATCAAAGTAGTACGCATCTTAAACCTTCATTATTCCGGGATTTACTTCAACATCAAGATGGATTTACTGCAAAAAGTTTCAAGATTGCAACTCACCCACTCTATATTCAACTTTCAATGTTACGAGAGGAAGTGAGTGAGTTAGTTTGGTTGGCGGATGTTTTTGAACAGTATTGCAGATACATCACTGCATGTTCGGCTGATGTTGAAGAAAAGCCTGAAGTGATGTAGTCTTACATGTTTACCACATTAATCACAAACAGACAGAAAAATCAGGAACCTGCAATTGAACCCACCATCACCTATTCCTGACAGGCCAAAGGGACATAACTCTGCATAGCAAATTGCATTGTCTCAGACAAACTGTGCCGACCTGTATGATAGAACCTGATAACAGATGAAAGGAGATAACTCACTTAGTTTGTTCCAGTCGGTTGGAGAGGGGTATTGACACAGCGGCTCCCGAAGACTCCGAGTCACTCTCACTGGATGTTGGAGAACATGAGTTGCGGTGATTTTGGTTCTTCTGTATTGGGTAACCAATCAGCTTGATGTATCCGTCACTGTCCTCATGGAGCTTCACCTCAATCATACCTGCAACAATCACACAGTTAGGTCCCGGTCGTCAAGGACAACGTTTAGGCCAGATAGATATATGCTTGCTTTTTGGAGGAATAGGTGGGTATATGGGTGGCACCCCACCACCACCCCTTTGTGCTGGAAATTTGTTAAATGACCATTGAAACTCGGGTGAAAAGGAAGTGTGCACCCCTCCTTTTCTCAATAGTGTGCATCCCTGCGCCCCCCTTTCTCAAAAAGCTGTATCCGCCCCTGGGTGGTGCCTGAGTGGATTGGTGGAGATATGGGTGGATGGTGACAGGGAGGATGGGTGGTTTGAGTGAGTGAGTGAATATGGTTTTACTTCACTTTTAGCAATATTCCAGCAATACACAGGTGGGGGAGACCAGAAATGAGCTTCACACATTGTACCCATGTGGGGAATCGAGCCTGGGTCTTCGGCGTGACAAGCGAACACTAAACCACTAGGCTACCCCACCGCCCCGAAGTTTGGTTTGAATGTCGCTATCAAGGTTACAGAACTTATATGTATGTGTAAGTGTGATTGCTGTAACAGTCGTGTTAGAGTGTTAGCCCAATGAAATACCATGGCACAGTATAACAAGTGGTATGCTAACCAGCCCTTGTTTTCTCATCTTGTGTGAGGATAACAAGAAGTACCATCTTTTAACATCTTTGACTAGGAGATGGCCGACAACTGACCTTCGGGACTAGCACCTGCTGACTGGACGATGGAGACATGGGGAGAGCCTGAGATAGGATGTAGACATTGATCACTGTGGGGACAGACAGTCTGGTATTCTCCTCATTGGTCACACACTCTATCCCCTTGAGCACTGGGACAGTCCAAAAGATGGGTAGTGACTGAACATGCTGAAGGAGGGTGGAATGTGGATGTTGATGGATTAATGCATGAAGGGTGGATGGAAGATGGTGACTTAAGTGTGGATGGAAGATGGTGACTTAAGTGTGGATGGAAGATGGTGACTTAAGTGTGGATGGATGATGGTGACTTAAGTGTGGATGGAAGATGGTGACTTAAGTGTGGATGGAAGATGGTGACTTAAGTGTGGATGGAAGATGGTGACTTAAGTGTGGATGGATGATGGTGACTTAAGTGTGGATGGAAGATGGTGACTTAAGTGTGGATGGAAGATGGTGACTTAAGTGTGGATGGATGATGGTGACTTAAGTGTGGATGGATGGGAGATGGAATGTGAACGGACAATTCATTCTCAAAATACACCTGGAATCTGCTCTGCAATGCAATCCCTGCAGATATTACCACTATTGATTACAGAACCGCAAACCAACAGCATTCCTAACAATGATATTAATCACATTAATAGCACCATTAATGATATCCAATAAGCACTATTCATAGGGAGTGGCCGTCTTCATGAAGAAGGTAATTAACTACAAAGCAACACCCAAGGTTTTCTGGGCAACTTGCCCATGTCTTCTGAACATGTGCTTGAAACAGTATATCAGTCTGACTCCCTAATGTGTCTTCCAGCAGTGAGACACAGCTGCACCAGGAACTAGTGACTGGTTGTAATTGCTGTCAATATGTGAACAATCTATTACTTTTCTGATGTAGCGTCTTTCACCAATACATGTAAATAGTTTCCTTTTCTGACATCTGACATGTCTGAGCACCAGGATGTCACTTACAAAATAACTGACTTGTGTCAATAAAACCATATGATATGATTTACAAGTAAAAAGAAACACCAAAGTTTTGCTCCGGATAGTACGTACCATAGCTTGCAAGGGGTTACGTGTGTAAAAATAAGGTCCCTCACTCTTTTGTACCCCATACTTGGTTCTCCACCAATCATTTCAAACACCAGGATATCGGGATTGAGCGGCTTTCAAAATCTTTTTAACATGATTATCGCAGAAGGAATTTACTTTATACAGTATAAATATTATTGGCTAAATGGGTACTTGAGTGAGTGATTAGGGTTCAACGGTGCCAATGGTATTCCATTTATAATATGGCATGTCAACACAACGTAGGGGGACGTACATCCCAGATGTTAACCATTTTTGTGAAACTCATAAGCATGAGCATGGTGCACACAAACCTAGAAACCGGGAGTTGAACCCATGATTGTAGGTTTCTGGTGAACACAAGGGACACAACTCTCGAGAGCAAATTACGTCACCTTGAACACAGGGCCACCTGAGCCTCCACATGACAACCCTCTGCCTATCATACTTCCACCTGCTGTAGTTCCCCTCTCACCTCTATACTGGGGTGTAAACTCCTTCAGTTCCTCGGGTAGTGTTTCATAGAACAGTTGTTCCCGTGGAATCAGGGGCTTGCATAGTGTGTCCTCATTGTAGCGTAGCATGGAGTGATGGCCGCCGACCTGATGGTCAAACGGCTCTAGCTGTACCGGCCTCATCGTGTTGCTCTCCATCAAGTGTTCTGGCATACTGGCCCGCACACAGCCACATTAACACAAGTGCTGGCAGCTCTCCGCACTATACCTGAAACAAACAGCCACATCATTAAACCTTGGCATGCTTAAAGTCTCCTCTCGTTAACAAGGTCATCGAACCTTTCGTGTCAGTGTCCAAATCAAGCCTGCATAAGAAGGAATCCCTGTTGGAGGTCCCAAGATTCCAATCCAATTGCAGCAGGTCTAAAAAACACTATTTGAATGGCGCATGTCAAAAGAACATTTCATCAGATTGGAAGATATCAACACACGTAGCCCATGAATATGGTGCTGACTGGCCACAGATCACAATCAAGGTGAATCTGTGACTAGAATCAACATGAAGCTGATCTTGGTCAGGGAGACATGCCAATCAGACCAGTATCGCACCCTTGGGCTCTTGAAGCTCTGGGAACAAGGAATACAAATTACAAAAGTTATCACCTAATCATGCTTATAGACACTGGAATGTTTGGGATCAATGTCTCCTTACATTTCAAGAGGTCATACAGAGCGTGACCTGCTATCAGGTCCTACCAGGTCTTCCGGCAGAGATGAACCGTATCAGAACACACTACCATCTGTCAACCATTTTCAGTAACACATTAGACTACATGCCAACAATGGCCATGTTTCATCTGCTACAGCAACTTCAGAAGAAACAGTCCTCATCCTACCCTTCTTTTGACTGGTAACCATGGCAACAGGTGCATGTCCTGTCCACACTACGTGGTAGATGCTCAAAGTCAGCATTCCTTATTTCAAACATGAACATCATGCAAAGAAACTTCATTGAAATTGGTGTTTGTCTATTATTTTATTTTTGTGTGACAAAAAGAGGACAAAATTATTTGGGAAAAAAGGAAACTTTAGATGAAATTCTATTGTCGGAATATGAAATTTCATGCAACAGAATTGTAATGATTATAGGCCGATAATATGTGATTAACACACAGTAAGTACTTTTACAGTTACCATGACAACCATCAATATGAAATATGATAGTTAAAAATATGATGCCCATGTTTATAGTGAATGTTAATTTACATATTCAGTTGCAGATGCAGGAATTTGCTAGCTGATATAAAAGAGGGATGACATGAGCCTGATACTGCAGAGTATTCCTGTTAAATTCCTCTGATATTGGAGGACATATAACAGTGTATGAAATAAGCCAAAAACCCAGCCAGACATCTGGGATGGTAATTTCAAAAACTTACCAGCCCAGAAGAGATTTAACCAGTCCTTCTTAAATACCAAATAGACAGTGCCAGTGGACACGTTATTTGAATAATTTTTTTCACCCGTCCATCAGGCTGGCTAGCTGTAAAATTAGACCGTCGAAATCCGGTAGAAATCTAGCCCATCTCAGGCTGTCGGATGGGCCTTATTTCATACACTGCATATAAAGATAATGCACCTCTCAGACATTCAATACATTGGGGAAACCCACAAGCACAAAAATGATGCTAGAAAACCTAGAAACATAGTCATGGCAAACCACTTTTTGAACCCAAAATCATAGGTTCCTGGAATGTCCAAGGGAAGTAACTCTTCGTAGCAAGCTGTCTTATTGTGGCATGAAGAAAGTGAGTTGGAATTACTTTCCTGCCCTTTCATTGCTGAATAATGTGAATGAATGAAGGATAGAAGCCATCATATTGGCATCACCGAGGCATACTGACTACACCACAATAGGCATGATTAGGTTGATGGGCTCACTCCAGTAGGATCAAACAGGTGTGTTTTCCCACTGATAACACTGCACAAGACTACAGCTTTCTAAGCAGATTTCATTGATTGTAGTTGGTTGAGTAAGTGAGTTTAGTTTTATGCCGCACTCAACAATATCACAGCTATATGGCGGCGTTCTATAAATAATCGAGTCTGGACCAGACAATCCAGTGATCAACAGCATGAGAATCGACCTGCGCAACTGGGAACCGATGACATGTGTCAACCAAGCCCGCGAGCCTGACCACCCGATCCCATTAGTCGCCTCTTACGACAAGCATGGGTTATTGAAGGTCCATTCTAGCCCGGACCTTCACGGGCATGACTGCAGTTGGTGAAATATTCCACACACAAACTACTAAATGTCACTTATTCAAGTTTATCATGTTTATACCATGTATACAAGGTTGATGCACATTGAAAACTTTAATGACTGTCATTTCACATAATATTCATGTTTACATCTGTTAGCTCCAGGCAACCAATCTTCACCATTTACTAATGTAACTTTCCAGTAAAGTATGTGGTCCAGCCATTCTCTTCCCACAGAGGTGACTTGTCATATCTTCCTACGAACCTCTGTTCTAATACGGCCATATTTCCCGGTTCTCGTAAAATCCCCTAGCGGCAAAAGATCGCAACACGAATGATCTCCCTTCTTTCTATCCCATCAGAACACGTGTTACATCGACTTAGATTCAACTTGACTAACACAAGCAAATGTGGGGCCACAAATATCCCCCATCTGCCGGGGACTTGTGTTGATGTTACACACAAGACGTTTAATGGCTAGCTTGTCCGTTGTCAACGAGGGCGATGGAGACGCCACTGATCTGCCATAACATGACTGAGTTCTGTCTAGAAGAAACGTTTGCGCATCGCGCAGGGGAAGAGGTTTAGTTTTCTCGAAGCATACGGAAATTACCGAGGCCTTGCGAATGATCACTTTTGAAACAACGTCGCTGATTGCACAACTAAATCTGATTGCCTCCAATCACCAGTCTTGAACGCTTCACACCATGAAAGGGCCGTATTAGAACAGAGGTTACGTAGGAAGATATGACAGGAGTAACCTCTGTGGGAAGAGAATGGTGGTCCAGCCAGTTTTACTGCAGTACAGTAAGTTGTTTCACCTGCAGACTCCACTAAGTGCAGCTGAGGAAAACCCCACAAAATCACATCCTGATACAAAATCAAAGATGGCTCCCAGGCAGCGATATTGAAATTTCAAATAGGGTGCTTTGAAAGAGCTTACACTCCTTCGCATACTAATCAAGTTTATGGTCTCCAACATCTACACATATATTTTAGAGGCTTGTGCAGTCATAGTTGTTAAGCCTGCACACTCCACTTAGTGCAACAGATAAAAAAAAATCACATCCTGATACAAAATTAAAGATGGCCACCAGGCTGCACATATTGAAATTTCAATTAAGATGCCTTAAACATTACTTATCAAGTTTATAGTACCAGGAACCTACAAATATTTCACAGGTATTTCAGAGGAAAAGTCGCAAAATATACATAATTTCTGGAACATGGTCTTTTAGGTCGGTTGAGCTAAAACTGTCCGAGCTATAAATATCTGAAGTAGGACAGAGGGGGACATGATATTGACAGGTAGACAAACAGCAGACATCCAAGCTTGTCACATACGCTGACATCTATATATCAACAGCTGGCCTCATATCAGGACAATACCTATTATTGTAGACCAGGAACAACTCTGACAACTCAATAACAAACACCAGAAACACGATAACAATTTTTTTTGTTTTTTTCATGTGCAAGATAATTGTTATCATGTTTGGCCTTGTATGCTTAATCATGCTGATGGCTTGTGCCACACTGATCATGTTGATGATGTCGTGACATGGCAGGGAAAAACTGTCTGGTGGTGTACAGTAACATAAGAAGACAGCCAGTATCCTCGCCATTAGGTTTTTTGTACAGGCCACAAGACAAGATCTGAAAATACATATTCTGTAAATGCCTCCATCAGTACCCAACAGCCAATACCAGTGTATGAAATAAGCCAAAAAACCCAGCCAGACATCAGGGCTGGTAACTTCAAAATGTTATTATCCAAAATGGATTTAACCAGACCAGTCCAAATCCAAAGAAATTACTCAGATGTATGGAACATGTTTTCTAAAACAATTTACCAGACCATCGGCTGGCTAGCTGTAAATGCAGACCGTCTGTCAGAAATCTAGCCCGTCTTGGGCGATCACGCTTTATTTCATACACGTTCATACACTGCCAATACCTTAAAAATTTTCAGCACTAGATCACGATGATGGAAAAATAAAGATTATTACATAATTATCGTTATTTTTTTTATATCAGTCATTAATGTTTCTGCAACTATTGCCACAAAACTGTGTACCAAGATTTAATGACTCTTCAGCATGTTAACAACATAATTGATCTCACCATGCCATTTTCAACAAATTGGCACTAAACCCCAGATATTGAAGTGTTACACAGTTGGGTGTTTCTTCAATACAAAATCTGAAGGGAGAAGTTCACCTTGAAGATGATATGCTGCACAGGAGTTGTGGCCCCTTAAACTCCAGGATGCCATATCATGCAATGAGAACCGACACTTTTACAAAACAAGGCCTAAAACAGTGTGCGAAATTTATGCTGGTCCTGTGGTCCCTGGCTAGTAAAAATTCATCAGGACCACTAAATGATAAATTTGCAGTGGTCCGGGTTGCAAGTGAATTTTGTATTGATAGTTAAGTAAATCTACGAATGTTATTTTGGACCAATGAAGTACAGACAGGACCACTAATTATTGTCCACTAACTGGTCGTGTGGTCAAGTGGGAATTTTGAAAGGTTTCTTTCCCTGCTAAAATAGTGTAATATGGACAGATACTAAAACTTATTTACCTCCATATGTTCAGAGGCCAATATTGGTCCCAAGACAGCAGTAAATGTCATTTAAAGTTCACAAAGGGAATTTGAAATTTCCCATTTCATGAACTAACTAATAACTAGTTTTACAGCTGTATTTACGTAACAGGGGCAATAGTTTCCAATACTTACATTCATATTACGGCACTGAATGCTTTTTCATAAAACAAACATAAAATACCTTTAAACTTAGAATAGTAAGAAATATTTCTAAATCCCAATTTCTAATATATAACTTCTACCTTCTCCAAAACGTTTCTACCAAGGCAATACTAAATAAATACCTGTGTGTATGAGGTGGTCCATCTGCTGAATAGTTGCGAGATATATTTCAGAGACAGAAAACACCTCCCATTGAGAGAAGGTGTGAGCCCACCGTGAGACAGGAAGCAAATTCACGAAACTGCCACAGCCTCACTCTTACTACAAATGTGCATATAAGGCCACAAAACAGCATATTTCATCTTCCCAATATACATCTAACGCTATCTAACTGTGTGTTGTTCATTAGTTTTCATCATGTTGATACATGCATGTATAAAACTATGATTTAATTTGTTGTGGATACGACGACACGAGCAGCAGCTCTTATCATTATCGCAAACTGGCTTCAGATCAAGATAAACTCTGTACTCAATACACAGGTGGTTATCTGAACGATCAGTGTGTTGGGTTTACCATGCTGGTGAAAACCCACAAGCACAGCTGCTAAACCATTACCATTATTCAGGGATGTAAAAAGGAATCATATCTACTACCAGTGGATTCTGTGGCTGGAAAATGTACTCCCATAAATAATCCTCCCTCTTACAATGATGAAATAATATACTTAACATTTACATACTTCACTGCAAAATCAGTAATGGTTTGGCGAGGGCTGGATACAAACACATGTCAACTCTGAACTTGAAAATAACTTGAAAACACCATCCCATATATTTTAAATGACTTAAACAGATGTGTCTGATCTTCCTTCAGTTCCTGCAATGATGAGTATAGGTACTTACTATTGGTTCTAGCAAACCTACATTTCCCCCATGTTCCCATCAGCTTGATTAGTGTGTGTGTGAGACAGGGGCACTGTGCTTGTTGATTCTTCCCAAACACTGTGTTCACTGATGATGTTGGTGAAGATTCACAGATGACACACAGATGACACACAGATGGAACACAGGTGATACACAGATGACACACAGATGGAACACAGGTGATACACAGATGACACACAGATGGAACACAGGTGATACAGACATGACAATAGTGTTGGGAATTGGTTCAAATCTCACAATTGATGATTGGTTCATAACTACCGATCAATCATCGAAAATAATTGGTTAGCGTCATTTATGAAATTTGTTAATGCACATTAAAATAAGGGAATAAAATGTAGTTCTTCTGGGGTTTTTTGGCAAAATTTCACATCTTTAAAGGATGACTAGTATGTTAGGAACATAAATTTCGTGGAATCTTTATGATAAATTCAATCATGACTTGAACTGAGCTTGTAGTGCTTATGAAATGTAACAGACAAAACCATGTGAAAAATATTGTTAATGAAAACAAGTGTTCCAGAATTGTTTGTGTTGGATTATGAGAAATTATGATCGATTGCTTGGTCGTTTAGTCACTGCGACCAATCTTCGATTATTTCAATTAATCGGACCACCACTACATGATACAGAGAGTATATATACACGTTATACAACGGAACCCTCTTGAAGATTTGAGTTAGAACTGGTCTTCAGCAACATCATTTAATATCTATGTCTTGAATGAGTGAGTGAGTTTAGTTTTACAACACTTTTACTAGTTTTAGCAATATTCCAGCAATATCAAGGCAGGGGACACCAGATATGGACTTCACACATGGTACCCATGTGAGAATCAAACTTGGGTCTTTGGCATGATGAGCAAACACTTTAACTACCATTGTACCAAGCTACCCAACCACCCCCTTATATCTCCTGGGCCCGCCTATTGAAAAACCAACACCAAACGCTGTATCAATTCCCACGGTTTTCACCTTTTTGGCTGATTTGATTTGGATGGTTCGAGTTAGTAGTGTAGCCAATCAGAATACAAGTTACAATCAGCCTCAAAGAGCTAGTAGTGTAACCAATCAGAATGCAAGTTACAATCAGCCTCAAAGAGTTAGTAGTGTAGCCAATCAGAATACAAGTAACAATCAGCCTCAAAGAGCTAGTAGTGTAACCAATCAGAATGCAAGTTACAATCAGCCTCAAAGAGTTAGTAGTGTAGCCAATCAGAATACAAGTTACAATCAGCCTCAAAGAGTTAGTAGTGTAGCCAATCAGAATACAAGTTACAATCAGCCTCAAAGAGCTAGTAGTGTAACCAATCAGAATGCAAGTTACAATCAGCCTCAAAGAGTTAGTACTGTAACCAATCAGAATGCAAGTTACAATCAGCCTCAAAGAGTTAGTAGTGTAGCCAATCAGAATGCAAGTTACAATCAGCCTCAAAGAGTTAGTAGTGTAGCCAATCAGAATGCAAGTTAAAATCAGCCTCAAAGAGTTAGTAGTGTAGCCAATCAGAATGCAAGTTACAATCAGCCTCAATGATGGGTTGGCACTTTCAGCTACTTTTCAGCCTCACTGATCATGATCAAGTTTGCGACAAATTCAACACTGAAAAACTGACTGACGAGCAAAAGAAAGCTCTCAAACTTGGACAGAGCAAGCCAGGTTTGTCGTAAGATTGTACGACCAATGGGATTGTTTACCAGCAGTGTAGGTCGATACTCATGAAGTCAATCACTGGATTGTCTAACCCAAATTTGTTACTTTTAGATAGCCCTCACCATGCTCACAAAACTGGAATATTTCTATGTGGGGTATTAAATAACAAACACATGCTATGTAAGATATATCCATGAAATAAACAATATTCACCATGAATGTTTGCACACACGAACACACACATACATGCAGAGTAAATGAAAGAGATTATTTTTCATTTTCATTAGTTAAAGATAAATTTGTTTCTATTTTAAACTACTCCATTTCTTGGTCTATACCTTGTTTTGTGTCTTTTTAGCAATATTCCAGCAATATCACGGCGGGGGACACCAGAAATGGGCTTCACACATTGTACCCATGTGGAGAATCGAACCCGGGTCTTCGGCGTGACGAGCGAACGCTTTAACCACTAGGCTACCCCACCGCCCCTGTTTTGTGTCTTAAGTACGCCTGTTCTCTTCATAAAACTCCAGAACAAGACTGGGGTATATTTTATGGTAACATGATGAATCCATACTGTATAAAACATTAACATGACATATCATGATATATACAAGACGATATAGACATGACATACGCTGATATAAACATGACATTCATTGAAAAATAAACATGACAACACAACAATGTTCTATATGCATCTGTATACAGTCATCATATCATCACAGATGCTGACAGTGACACTGACACTGAATCATCAGTCTGAAACGAGACCAACAGCACCATCACACTAATGGTTCACCCGATCCTTCTATCCGTCAGCTGTATTCACCCAACATCCGACACACTGCAGCTTGCACACAATATAGACATCGAACATACAGTTTTCATTCAACGGCATCAAACATGAATCAATAGTACCTTTGTACAGTGCACAGCGTACATGATGTAGGTATGGTGTTGGTAAGAATACTGACAAAGTAACATGTAATGCAATTCTCAAAAAGAACATCTGTTCTTCAAACAAACACCCTTGTTTGTACACAAGTATTGGATGTTTCACATCTGTCACAAGCAAACTGGACCACAGACACAGCAACACATTAATGTAACACATCGACATCTATAATATAGTACAAACAATAGTTCACAGTGTGGGATATTCTGACAGCCATCATTGTGTTCTGGTTTTTCATTGTTGGTGTGCTTGTTATTGATTTAAGACCACAATTACAGCTGCCTGTAGATATGGTAACTAACAGTGTGGATCACACAATCCAGTGATTAATACAAGCAACCATGGTACAATGACATACAAGAAGCAGATCAACAAGCCTCACAAGATCAAAACTGTTGCCACTTACTGCATGAAAAGGTTACCCAGAAACCTCACTGTAGCCAGAGACTTATTCCAACCTAGGATCCCAGTGGGTGGATAAGCATAGGTTACCATGGTTACTGGGGACCTATTCTAACCCAGAATCCTAACAGGGAGAGAATATGGTTACTGGGGACCTATTCTAACCCAGAATCCTCACAGGGAGAGAAGTACAGGTTACCATGGTTACTGGGGACCTATTCTAACCCAGAATCCTCACAGGGAGAGAAGCACAGGTTACCATGGTTACTGGGGACCTATTCTAACCCAGAATCCTCCCAGGGAGAGAAGCACAGGTTACCATGGTTACTGGGGACCTATTCTAACCCAGAATCCTCACAGGGAGAGAAGCACAGGCTACCATGGTTACTGGGGACCTATTCTAACCCAGAATCCTCACAGGAAGACAAGCTACTCACTCAGCTAGAGACCTCCATTCTTGACCGTCATCACCACTGTATTGTATATTGACTTGTCAGTCAACCCGGGCCATTGTCATTTCTTTAGTCACTGTTATTTATATTATGACATTTATAACCTTGGCCGTGTCAGTTGTCACACCAATAGTCCAAGTCAATGCCATTGTCTCTTTACTTGTCTATTGTTGTCTCTTTGTCTGTCCATTGTTGTTTTATACTATATATGTTTACATATATATCACCTGTGTAGGGACTACTGCCTGTCGGAGCTTTGTGCTGCTCATTAAGAGGAAACACCCACGGTTCAGCTGGAACTCGATTCATTAATGTTTGAACAAGAAAATCACTTCCTTGCTATCTTTGTGTATTTAATAGACAACTAAAGAAATTTGGACCCAACATATTTCTTTACCTAAGTTCTTAGCTGGTTCCCTGGCAAATGCCTTGGAACTTTTTGTAACTATTTTTCACATTTTTGTGCATCTTGGTTTAAAATTGGGAATCCCTTGGTGACCTCAGTACTGAAGCTAATTATTTCTAAAAACATTAGCAGGAAGTTACGTATTAGTCAGTAGCATGAATACATATATATCAGAGAAAGCTTTGATCCCTCTACCATGTTTGTAAGCAGTTTGCAGTAGCAATAGTGAACATACAATGTACCTGGCAAATTATCATCAATGTTAATCTTTTAAATGGGTTAAGTTAATTCCGTATGAATGTTAATGTTGTATATCTTTTCATCCATAACAACCATAAGCAGTCAGGCAAATTGAAATATATGAAAAATGTTTATATTCTATGTATGACTGTAGGATTTGACTCACATGGTCTGCCATGATCAGTGTCTGCTATAATCAAAAAGTCTGCAATGAACAAAGTGTATTCTATGATCAA